CAGTTGGGGGTTCCCTGGAGGTGGGGGGGGCATTTTGGGGATCCCTATAGGGCCTTGGGGGGAGCCTGGCTCTATAGGGGTCCCTGGGGTCAGCTTGGGGGTCCTGGGTGCTATAGGGGTCCCTGGGGTCAATCTGGGGGTCCCCAAGTCTATAGGGGTCCCTGGGATCAGTCTGGGGGTCCCAGGTCCTATAGGGCTCCTGGGGCTCAGTCTGGGGGTCCCCAAGTCTATAGGGGTCCCTGGGATCAGGCTGGGGATCCCCAAGTCTATAGGGGTCCCTCAGTATAGTATAGGGGTTTGGAGCCCTATAGGGGACCGTGGGGTCAGCTTGGGGGTCCTGGGTGCTATAGGGGTCCCTGGGGTCAATCTGGGGGTCCCCAAGTCTATAGGGGTCCCTGGGATCAGTCTGGGGGTCCCAGGTCCTATAGGGCTCCTGGGGCTCAGTCTGGGGGTCCCCAAGTCTATAGGGGTCCCTGGAGTCAGTCTGGGGGTCCCAGGCCCTATGGGGGTCCCAGGGCTCAGTCTCAGGATCTGGGGCTCTATAGGGGTCCCCGGAGTCAGTCTGGGGGGCCCCATCCCTATAGGGGTCTCGGACCCTATAGGAGTCCATATCAGGGTCCCCATAGGGGTCCCAGAGCCTGGTTTGGGGGTCCCTGCCCCTACGCAGGCTCCCAGGCTCCGGGTCCTCGTCTCCATAGGGGTCCGACGGAGGCGTATAGGGGTCCCAGGGCCCCCTTTCGGGGTCCTCGTCCCCATAGGGGTCCATATAGTGGTCCCCATAGATGTCGGGGTCCCAGGGCTCCGTTTCAGGGTCCCACAGCCCCGTGGTGGGGTCCCCATCCCTATAGGGGGGGGCCGGGCCCGTATAGGGGCCCCCATAGGTGTCGGGGTCCCCCAGGTCCATATAGGGGTCCCCATAGATGTCAGGGTCCTGGTCCCCATAAGGGTCAGGGGGGGAGTCACCGTACGCGGCAGGCGCCAGCGGTGAGCTGGGCGAAGCCTCGTGCGAAGCCTCGTGCGAGTCCCCGTGCAAAGCCCAGCGCCAAGGCGGTGGCGAAGCCCGGTCGCCGTCTCGGCGCTGGTGCAAATCCTGGTGCAAATCCTGGTGCGGAGCCCGGTGCTCGTCTGGGTGCAAATCCTGGGGCGAATCCTCGTGCGAATCCTCGTGCAAGTCCCCCCGCGAAGCCTGCCGCCACGCCGGCTGCAACGCCCGCTGCCTTCCTCGGTGCAAATCCTCGTGCAAATCCTCGTGCAAACCCTGGTGCCAAGACGGCTGCAAATCCCGATCGCTGTCATGGCGCAAGTCCTCGTGCAAACCCTCGTGCAAACCCTCGTGCGAACCCCGGTGCCTGCCTGGGCGCAGATCCTTGTGCGAATCCCCGTGCGCGTCGCCGTGCAAACCCCGGTGCCAAGACGGCGGCGAATCCTGATCGCCCTCTCCCCGCAAGTCCTCATGCAAATCCTCGTGCAAACCCTGCTGCCACGCCGGTCGCAACTCCCGCCGCCTTCCTCGGTGCAAATCCTTGTGCAAAACCCGGTGCCTGTCTGCTCTCGAATCCTGGTGCAAATCCTCGTGCACGTCCCCATGCAAACCCCGGTGCCAAGACGGTTGCATCTCCCGCTGCCTTCCTGGGTGCAAATCCTCATGCAAAGGCCGGTGCCTCCCTGGTCGCAGATCCTCGTGCAAATCCTCGTGCAAAGCCTGAGGCCTCCCTGGTCGCAGATCCTCGTGCGAAGCCTGGCGCCTCCCTGGTCGCAGATCCTCGTGCAAATCCTCAGGCAACCCCTGGCGCCCGTCGGGCTGCAAATCCTCGTGCAAGTCCCCGTGCAAACCCCGCCGCCA